AAACCCCTCTACAATGTTGATTCTTTTGTATGAAAACACCCCCTAAAGTTTGGCCAAATAGGTGGAAAATTTTAGTCCTAAATTTAAGCCCATTTTTGCAAAAAAATCCTCAAATTTCAGTCCACTTTTGCATAAAAGTCCCTAAAATTCGGCCATATTGCATTTATTGCATAAAACTCCCCAAATTTTGGTCCATACACACAACCCATCATCAATATCCCATCTTTTTCATAAAACCCAACTCATGAGAACAAAAAGCTATGACCTTGGTATATAAATTTATGTCATACCACCATCATAAGCACAAAGTTGCAATCTTTCTTAAAAAAGGAGGGAGTTTTGAAGGAAAACTTACCCAAATCAAGAAGTTTCCCTTGAGCTTGAAGATGAAGAAAAAACCCTAGCCCTGAGGGGAGAATATTTTCGGCCAAGAGAGGAGTACAAAATTCGAATTTATGAGGAGAAGGTGGAGGGGTTTTAAAGAGAAGAGTTCTAATGGGTTTAGAGTTCATCAACAAAAAGAAACCATGGTGTTAATTTGGATAAGAGGAGGAAGAAGAGAGAGTTTAGGGGGGGAAAGGATTCCCTTTTGAAAATATGAAAGAGGGGGAAAGCACACACCACAAGAGACAAAAAGGGGGAGAAAGAGACAAGTGTCTCGGCCAAGGCCAAGACACCCACTGATGTCTCAGCCTAGTTTGAGTCCCGGATGCGCTTTTCAAACCCGAATTTCGCTCATTTTTGTCGGTTATTGGATATTTCGATAAAAGTCAACGCATGACGATCTAAACCCTAAGGTCAATGCCGGTCAACGCCAGTCAAAGCGTTGGGATGAAAAGGTCAACATCGGGTGATCCGAAACCCTAAGGTCAACACCGGTCAACGCGTAACCCTAGGTCAACGCCAGTCAAAGCGTTGCGATGAAAAAGTCAACATCGGGTGATCCGAAACCCTAGGTCAACGCGTAACCCTAGGTCGACGCCAGTCAACGCGTTGCAATGAAAAAAATCAATGCGACGGAGATAGTCAGTTCTAAGTCAGCTCAATGACACGAGCTAAACTCAACTCATTGGTTTTAGATTCGAGACTCCGACGACGGCCAGACGATAAACGCAGCGCCGAAATGACTTCAGCTATTCGTCAAAGTATCGAATAGAGTGAAAATCGAAGGAGTCAAGAATTAAAGCTAACTACAGGTCCTTTACACCGACCGAAGGCTGGACCAATCACATCCAAAGTATCCCAGCCTCTTCTATAAAAGAAACGAGGCTGGAACGCTTTGGAGGGGGTATCTGTAGGCATCAAAAATTGCTTATAGGTCGCCACGAACAACTTGGTGCTAAGAAAAGATGATGAACGTCACTATCTAAGTCACAGAAGCCTGATTGATATCGATGAACGCTCAAAGTGAATCGACGTACTACGTAAAATAACGGGATTTCAGAATAACGAAGATACGGATTGATTGAGAGCCCTGCGTTGCTTACAAAAGGTGAAACACCGCTCGTATCCCAGTTTAATTCACAAGGACTAAATCATCGGAGCTCATAGGACTCCTAGCCGGCTTTCCAACGCACTTTTAATCGCTCGAATCCGAGCCCGAATGAAGAAGTTACGGCGGAAACGAACGAGTATGCAAAAAGAAGAGTCTCAGCTGAGTTGAGACACCGTAGGGTGTCTCGGCCCAACTGAGACACCCCAAGGTGTCTCGGCCTTGCTGAGACACCTAAGGGTGTCTCCAGGCCTAAAAAGCGGTCGTTATGCAGTTTTAACCACCCGGACTTCCTTGGAGCCTATAAATACAGCCTCATG